CACATGCTCCGAGGGTCTTGTGAGATGAATTGACCCTCGATCCTCTTTGCATATGTGGCCTTGGCCCTCTTAATACCAGCAACCAGCTCTTTTCTTGTCCTACTCAGCTCCTCTGAGCTTCCAGACCTGAAGGCAGTGTTCCTGGCTTCCAGCAGGGTATGCACCTCTGCATTCAGCCAAGGTTTTCTGTTTGGGCAGCTTTTAAAATTTCTGATAGTGGAGACTGTGTCAGTACATGTACTAATGTAACCCAGAACTGAGGATGTGTATTGGTCAAGATCAAGCGAACCTGCATTTTCAGCAGCTTCTCTGAAAACCTGCCAGTCTGTTTGATCAAAACAATCTCTCAGTATGGGGCCACTGTCCTGGATCCAGCATTTAACTTTCTTTTGTACCGGTCTGGAGCGTCTCAGCGGGGGCATGTAAGCAGGAGCCAGGAAGATTGAGATGTGGTCTGACAGTCCTAGGTGGGGGCGGGGTTCGGCTTTGTATGCATCTTTTACGTTCGTGTAAACACGGTCCAGCGTGTGGTCTCCACGTGTCGGAATCGCCACATGTTGATTAAAGCTTGGGAGACAGTCCTTTAGATTCACGTGGTTAAAGTCTCCGGCTACCACGTAAAGAGCCTCGGGGTGTTTGCTCTGCAGCGAGCTGATGATGTCATGTAGCTCCTGCAGTGATTCATTAGCATTAGCGTCCGGAGGAATGTAGACGACAGAGATGAAAGTCACCGTGAACTCTCGGGGTAGATAATGTGGCCGGCATTTCACTGTTATTTGCTCCAAAGCCTTCGAACATGAGCTATTTACAACAGTACAGTTCGTGCACCAACTTTTACTCACGTAAATGCATACTCCGCCTCCCCGTGATTTCCCCGTTAGCTCGCTGCAGCGGTCCGCTCGAAAAAAAAAGTCTGTCATCCAGCTGGAAGACTGTGTCCGGCGTTTCGCTTGTAATTCACGTTTCCGTGAGGCAAAACACTGCACACTTCTTCATCTCTTCTGAGGCGCCCGCTCTCAGACGAAGTAAATCCATCTTGTTGTCCAACGAGCGGACATTCGACAGAAAGAGAGACGGCATGGGGAGTTTACCGGCTTTAGCGTTAGCTCGTAGCCTCACCATAACCCCCGCCCGGCATCCTCTCCTCTTAAGCCGGGAGCAGCGCTTCCTCTTCTGCCCGCTGGAACGCCTCTGCTGCAGCTTCCAGGTAGATGACTTTAAGATCTGCATTCTGCCGAGCGTAGCTTTGAGTTTGTTGCTGATTTCTGCTATATTTCATGGCAAATCCGCTCCTATTCTCATAAGTTCGGTTCAGCTATAGTTCACACGCATAAATCGCACGGAGTCAGGCACAGAGTCAATATCAAAACTTCTAAAAACTGGGACGGTACCGGGAGCCTGTGAAGCTGCAACTGCTCTGAGCGCTTTTACATATTTTATAATAAATTGTTTGGAAATTTATTTTTGCACAATAAACACTTATTTTGTCATCTGTTATGATTTTAACTAGAAACAGTTTAATTTAAATTAACATTTTAATCAATGAATTACAATTTTACAGTAGTTGTCAGGCTACAATCAACTCAGTTATCCAGGTACTTGGTTGACATAAAAAAAACGACAAATAGAACAATTATATTCAGGTCTCTCTTGTAAATGAGTCCCCGTGGCTCAATGGGACCAACATGTCCAAATAAAGGTTGAATTAGTATCTTCTATAGAAATCAAGAAATAATCCAGATGATCTGAGGTAAGCTGGAAAGCTCGTGACCATAGATGAGGGTAGGAACGTAGATCGATCGGTAAATTGAGCGCTTCGCCTTTTGACTCAGCTCTCTCTTCACCACGACAGACCTGTACAGCGCCTGCTTCACTGCAGACGCTGCACCTATCCGCCTATCGATCTCACGCTCCATTTTTCCCTCATTCGTGAACAAGACCCCAAGATACTTGAACTCCTCCACTTGGGGTAGGACCTCCTCCCTGAACTGGAGAGGGCACTCTACCCTTTTCCGGCTCAAGACCATGGCCTCGGATTTGGAGGAACTGATCTTCATCCCGGCCGCGTCGCATTCGGCTGCGAACCGCTCCAGCGAAAGCTGTAGATCACGATCTGATGAAGCCAATAAGACCATATCATCTGCAAAAAGCAGAAACGCAATCCTAAGGCCACCAAAACGGATCCCCTCAACACCTTGGCTGTGCCTAGAAATTCTGTCCATAAAAGTTATGAACAGAATCGGTGACAAATGGCAACCTTGGCTGAGTCCAACTCTCATCGGGAACAAGCCCGACTTACTGCCGGCGATGCGGACCAGGCTCTGACACTGGTTATACATGGACCTAACAGCCCGTACCAAAGGGCCCGGTACCCCATACTCCCAGAGTACCCCCCACAAGGTCCCCCGAGGGACGTTGTCGAACGCCTTCTCCAAGTCCACAAAGCACATGTAGACCGGTTGGGCAAACTCCCACGCACCCTCCAGGACCCTGCTGAGAGTGTAGAGCTGGTCCAGTGTTCCCCGGCCAGGACGAAAAACCGCACTGCTCCTCCTGAATTCGAGGTTCGACTATCCGATGGACCCTCCTCTCCAGAACCCCCAAATAGACCTTACCAGGGAGGCTTAAGAATGTGATTCCCCTGTAGTTGGAACACACTCTACGGTCCACCCCTGTTTACCAATCAAGGGGAACTTCCCCAGATGTTCACGCAATTTGCAGAGTCATGTAAGCCAACACAACCCTACAACATCCTGAGCCTTAAGGAACTCCGGGCGAATCTCATCCACTCCTGGGGCCCTGCCACCGAGGAGCTTTTTAACCACCTCGGTGACCTCAGCACCTGAGATTGGAGGACCCGACCCAGAGTCCCCAGGCTCCACTTCCTCAGTGGAAGACATGCCGGTGGGATTGAGGAAGTCTTCAAAGTATTCCGCCCACCGACCCACAATATCCCTAGTTGAGGTCAGCAGCACACCACTCCCACTATAAACAGTGTTGGTGGCATACCGCTTCCCCCCCCACGAGACGCCGTATGGTGGACCAGAATTGCCTCGAAGCCATGCGGAAGTCGTTCTCCATGGCCTCTCCGAACTCCTCCCATGCCCGAGTTTTTGCCTCAGCGACCACCCGAGCCGCATGTCGCTTGGACTGCCGGTACCCATCAGCTGCTTCCGGGGTCCCACAGACCAAAAAGGCCCGATAGGACTCCTTCTTCAGTCTGACAGCATCCCTCTCCGACGGTGTCCACCATCGGGTTCGAGGGTTGCCGCCGCGACAGGCACCGCCAACCTTGCGGCCGCAGCTCCGGTAAGCCGCCTCGACAATAGAGGCACGAAACACGGTCCACTCAGACTCAATGTCCCCCACCTCCCTCGGAACATGTTCGAAGTTCTCCCGGAGGTGGGAGTTAAAACTCCGTCTCACATGAGACTCTGCCAGACGTTCCAAGCAAACCCTCAC